AAAGCAAGAAGCAGGTGGACCAAGCATTGAGCTCGGCGGAGTCCGAGTACATGGGACACTTCCGTGCCGTACGGGCGATTGTGTGGCAGCAGCGTTTGTTGCTTGGTCGGAGCCGACTTCGTGGTCGGGTGTGAAGGGAGCAGCCGACCTGCAGCAGTGGGCGAGCTGGTCGACGGGGTTGTTCAATCTGCACAGGGGCCACTGCAAAGGCGCCGACTTCGGGAGGGCGCCAACCTTGGGTGGTCGATTTGGGAAGTTGACCTGTAGAGGGCGTCGACTTCAGGCAGCCGACTTGGGTGGCCGACTGACAAGAGTGCTGGTCGACCTGGAGCTGATCGACCAGGAGTGTCGTCGACCTGAGCCTGGTCGACCAAGGGTGTGGTCGACCTGGTGAGATCGACTGGAAATGGACGTCGACTTGGTTGGTCGACGGGCACGCGAAGGGCAGCTGGTCAACGTGGTTGCCCGGTCGACCAGGTAACCTGGGTGGCGAGGTTCTGCGGAGGAGTGCGATGGTCGCCCAGGTGGTTTTGGCGAGACCAACCTCGGTGGTGGTATCCCAAGGTCAACGTGGCTGATCAGATGAGGTCGTCAGCACGGGGACGATGTTGTGTGTGCGTTATGCAGGTGACGAGGCACAGCACACCAGTCATCTGCGAGCACCTGCGAAGCTGGTGCGATGCTACTCTGCGGGAGCAACGCTGGCCCGCCGTCGACTTGCTATGTTGTCACGCCGTCAACCTGCAGCATTCACAAGCCACAACTCTACACTGCAGGAGCGCGGTCAACCACGTCCTGCTGGTACGCGGTCGACCATGCTGCGCTGGCAGTCGACCTGCTTGCATGCTAGCTCTGATGTAGTCTTGTCTTGCCAACTTCATTGTACCATTGTTGTCAATTTTCCTTAGTGAAACTCTTGCCAAATTGCCCCGTGAACTAGCAAGCAGTGTGTGCACTAGGAAAACGACTAAGGGAACGCTGAGATCACTCTTGCCCCGTGCCTAGCCCATAGCCTAGCTCCCATTGATAGAGTTATCTTTGCAGTTGAATATGTGTGTCGAGTCAATAGCGAGTTATCGCTAGTCGCGTGTCACGTCGTCGTTTGTGTGTCGTGTGCGGTTTTCTATTTTGTTGTGTGTGGAACGCTCACTGTGTCGCAAGTGTATGCAGCAGAACCATCTAGAACTTAAGGATGAGTTTATGGTGAAGAATTAGCGCCTTGGTTTCAAGACTCTAGTGATTTCGAAGCTCGCCAAAAGGGTAAACTTAAAGATAGTGAGAATGCGTTGTCTAGTGTAACATTTCTCTTGGTGTAGGTCCTTGTGGTGGGTAGTTTCGAGACTCTTCTTGGTAAGGGACAGTGTGGCACAGTTCCACATCACTATACCTCGGCTCTTGGGGTTTGTAGAGGTTGGGAGTCATTCCCAACTCCTTATTTGTGTTCTAAGACCACAATGGCTACCATAGTGCCGTTCGTTCAAACTGGCGTTGCGTCGTCAATACTTATGAAATTGTGCGATCCAAATTGCCTATCGTAGAAGAATTCAAGACGCTCCAGATCCAATTTGTAACATGTTTGAAGTAGTGACCAGAACGGTATGAACGCTTAAAGCCGTTGTGCATGAATCTGATTGTGCACTCTATCTTTCGTTTTGAGCATATTTGAGCCTATTGTGATAATGACAGAATCTGCAAATATGTATAGCTCCTTGTAGCTTCAGAATGAACTATTGGTGTTACAAACTATTGATGTGTACCCCCTATTTCTTCTCCCTTGCCTCTATTTGTTCTTTCTCATCATAGTGAAACCCCTCCTTTTTTCTCTCGTTCATCTCGTTACTTGCCTACATCCTAACCTATTAAAACGCACTATTCAGCACAAACATTTATTGTCCATGAATCGCTAGCTCGTAACAGAGCACATGTGCGACAATTGCGTCGATACTGGTTAGCTGACCTGGGTGGTTCGCTTCTGGAATTTTTGGGTAAGATGAGCGCAATTCATCCACCCACACGGTGTACGTGCAGCGCCACGTTGGCATCTCAAGCACACGCGGAATGTGCAATGGGAGAAGCTTGTAACCTGTCATGTCAAACGCGGCTGGTTATAAATTGAGTGTTGAAACATTTGCGAATGAGAAGCGAAATTTCTGCTCAAACGAAATCAGAGCGGCGAAAGCACGACTTAGTGGTCAAAGGATTCAGCAGGCGGAAACTCAGCCACTGAAAAATCGAATGGTTAAGCTTCAACTAGTGCATATTCCGCCGCTCAGGACTATATATGAGAAAACCGAGGGCGGTTCAGTAGGATACCTTCCAACTTGAACACATCTATGTTAGAATAATGCATGGGAATTAATGTATTGAGAACAAACTGAGTACGAGTACTAACCCTAATTGGGTTGTACCCCTTATGGGCTACCCCACTATAGCCTATACAACCTAAACATTATAACAGTTTGACACACCCCCATAGGCAAGGTGCGGGAGAACAAGGGGTCACAAGACCAGTCAAGAAAATAAAAGCAAGCTTAGGGTGGATCACGAAGTCACCACACACTCTGAGCACAAGCAAATGGCCACAAGGCCAGTCCATATGCAGAGTTATATAATCAAGAACAAACAGTACAGTGATCACAACGTAGCAAGGGTAAGCATGCAGGTAAATGTATATAGATCACAGTACAAGCTAAGTCACGAAGTGAGCAAGTGAGGCAAAGTATGCACAAGGCCTAAAAAACAGTGCAGAAACGCTGATGATCACCAGGCTGAAGTGCCTTAGTGAATATGTAAGAAGTGTTGGCCCGAGTGGCCACGTAAGCAAGACGAAGCTGACCACGCTGCTACAACTCTCGAGCAAGGAAGTAACGGGGAGCGATGTGCTTCGTCCTGTGCTCCAATCTGTGCTCCTGACACAAGGCAATCATGGCCTTCTTGTATACATACAGAACTGGAGGAGAACTAGGCTTCTCTCCCAAGTCGGTCAGCAGGTAGGTGAGCCAGCGTAACTCCTGTGCAGACATGGCCCGTGCGTAGATCTCAGCCTCACAACTGGAACTGAGAACAGAAGACAAGCGGGTAGACCGCCAAGAAACAGAACCGGAGCCAAGGCTGAAGGTGTAACCCTATAACGACCGCTGTGTAGCCAATTCGTCAACCCAAGACGCGACTGCGTGTCTAGTGAGGACAACTTGACCCCGTCCCCAAGCACGAGCCCCATGCCCGACGTACTGCACAAGTAGCGCAACACCCTCGTAGCGGCATCTATGTGCTGTGGTCGGTGTCTCCCGGGCACAACGTAGCGTGCCAAGATTCTAAGGGAGTAGGCACAATTAGGTCGAGTGCAGGTCATCAGGTACATGAGGCAACCCACAAACTCTGGAAAAAGCCACTCGGCTCTATGGACTCGTCCGAAGGTGGAGCTGAGAGCGAGTGACCGATAGGCAGAGGAGTGGATTGTGGCGAGGAGTACCAGAAGCTGAAGCACTGAAGGACCTGGTGCACCATGTGTTACTGAGTCAGGGTGATGGTGCGGCGTGCTCTGTCCCGGGTGATTTGCAAGCCAAGATAGCTACACAGCTCGCCCACGTCAGTGCACGAGTGTCTCTTTTGCAGCTCCGACTTCACAAGGGCGAGTGCCTCAGTGTCAGCAGTGGCAAAAGCCAAGTCATCGACGTACACGAGGATGTAGAACGGCGGCAGCAAAGTGTTGGTGTGCAGAAACAGCGACGGGTCAGTAGTCGAAGGAGCAAACCCAAAAGCTGCAAGCGTCGTCCTCTGTGTATCGTGCTACTCCCGAGGCGCCTGGCAGAGATTGTAGACTGGCCGTCGGAGGCTCCACTGGGTACCTGCAGGAAACGACCCAATGAAGCCAGGTGGGCGGCGCAGCCAGATCTCCTCGTGCAGGCTGCCCTGTAAGAAAGTTGTGCTGAAGTCAAGAGAGTGAAGCTCGTAGTCACACTGAGCGGCGACGTGCAGCAGCACCCAAAGAGTGGTCATCTTTGGAGTAGGGGAGAAGTTCTGGAAGAAGTCAACTCCTTGTCGCAGACTAAAGCCTCGTGCAACGTAACGAGCCTTGAAGGCAAGCGAAGAACCTGACGGCCGCTTCACCCTGAAAATCCACATGCCATCGACTATGTTCGCCCCAGGAGGGAGGACTGCGTCGATGAAAGTGCTTGTGGAATTTCAGGATGCCATCGCTGCGTCAATGCTTATCTGTCACTGAGAGGAGTAGGGACACGTAATTGCCTCTGTGTAAGAGCGCGGGGTCGGGATGTCGGGAGCATCCGGGTCCCCCTCAGGTGCAATCAGCATGGACACGAGATGGGGTATAGTAGCTGCAAGAGACTCAAATTCCTCCAGCCTGTCCTCAAGGACGTCCTTGTCACGAGCACACTCACCCCCGACGAAAAGAGGACAATCAAACTCAGACTCAGCAACAAGACTAGCGGCATAGTCGAGACGACAGGCGGCAGCAATGTCAACAAGCTCAGCAACTAGGGCATACGCAATAGCGGACTCAAACGAAGGGTTAGTGACAACAGTGGCTACAAGACGTGTCACAGTAAGATGGCAGCATGAACTAAGTTAGACTCAGGGTCCGGGCCGTCAGCAAGAGGAGACGGCAGGGGAACTCGCTGTGGAACAGAGGAAGAACGAAGTGTCATAAGGTGAGTGCCGGTATGAGAGTATGAGAGTACGCCGGCGTTCGACATATTTTTCATTTCTATATTTTTACTCCTTATTTTCCTTATTTTCCTCTTTCATTTGCACATTATTTCACCTCAATCGGACTACTATTCTATTTTCTAGAGCTTTCATATCATTTCACTTATTTGGTATTTTCGGCACCGACATTTACATTATACGGCACCGACAGCACCGACAGTGGTGTACAAGGCATAATCTCGCCATAATCTGAAGTGCCAATGGGCTTGCATGCTTATGCGCACTTGTGATTATCTATTCTAGAAGAGCGCGTTCCCGAAGGTTCACATTATCTATTCTAAGAACCTGGCGAAGCAGTAGAACGAAGTACGGACGCGGCCGCACAGTGCCTCCAGCACCTGTACCGACAACACCTGTACCCCGAGCGCCAGGGTCTCTAGCTCCAGCGCCTGTAGCTCCAGGGTCTCCAGCTCCAACGCCTGCAGCACCACCAGCTCCAGTAGCTCCGATACCTCCAGCACGAGCACCTCCGGGACCAGCAGCTCCAGCACCTCCAGCACCTCCAGCACCTCCAGCACCAGTAGCACCGGCAGCTCCAGTACCTCCAGCACGGACACCTCCAGGACCAGCAGCTCCAGCACCTCCAGTACCTCCAGCTCCAGCAGGACTGCCATCACCTCCAGCACCAGCAGCACCACCAGCTCCGGCAGCTCGAGCACCTCCTGCACGAGCACCTCCAGGACTAGCAGCTCCAGCACCTCCGGTACCTCGAGCTCCACCAGGACCGCCAGCACCTCCAGCACCAGCAGCACCACCAGCTCCGGCAGCTCTAGTACCTCCACCACGAGCACCTCCAAAACCAGCAACTCCAGCACCTCCGGTACCTCCAGCTCCAGCAGGACCTCCAACACCTCCAGGACCAGCAGCTCCAGCGCCTCCAGCTCCATTGCCTCCAGCGGCAGTGTCTCCAGCGGCAAGCCCCCCCAACTCTAGCAGCGCCACTCCGAAGGCAGGTGCGCCGAGCAAACCACTCGCGCAGCTGCAGAGGAGAGAGAGGCTCCCGATGTGACAAGGCACACGTAGGACCTCCAACACGCACAATACCTCTAGGCTTAGCACCCCCAGACCCAGAACCTCCAAACTCTGCACGCTCAGGCTCACCACCCCCAGGCTCCGCACCCTCAGACTCAACAACCCCCGGGCTCAGCACCCCCCCCAGCAGCACCAGAGTCGACAGCTACCTCGACAGGCTCAGCCAAGGGGAGTGGGTCTACCAGAGACACACCTGAGGGAGCAGGACCCTGAGGGGGGAGGGGGTCTACCGGAGGAGGACCTGGTGCGAGGAAGAGAGGCGAGGGTGGGAGACAGGCAGTGCGGTAGGGGAAGAGATGGTAAAAGGGAAACGACTCGTCAAACGTGACGTCCTGAGAGGGCAGGACATAGCGCGAAGTGGGGTGGTAAGACTGCCAACCAGGCGAGTCAGTGGGAAAGCCAAGGAAGATGCAGGGAAGAGCGCGGGAGGAGAGCTTGTCCGAGGAAGTATCGCAGACAAAGGCACGAGAGCCCTAGACCCGAAACACCCACGCATCGCCAACCTCCCCCGTCCAACACAGTGTAGGCGAGGTCTCCGGCAAGGAGACACGGGGCCAGAGGTTGCTGATGCGCAGCGTACCGGACCGCAAACGGCCACAGAAAATGGGGAGCAGCCACATGGATCATGGAGGTACGAGCGACCTCCATGACTAAGCCAATGCGGCGCTCAGCAACCCCATTTTGCTGCGGAGAGGCCGGAAGCGTGAACGACTGGCGGATGCCCTCCCCATGACAAAAGTCACGTAAGAGGTCGGAGGCAAACTCACCACCTCTGTCAGAGTGCAGACGCAGGATAGGAAGGTTCGTGTGGAACTCATCGCGGAGCTGGAGACAGACAGCGCGGATCCAAGGGATCAAAACATCAGGGACCTTCCCCTTACTGCGCAAGAGGAAGACCGTGGTGTAACCCGAGTAGTCGTCAACAACCAGCAGAAAGTAGCGCTCGCAGCCCTGTCCACGGACGCGGGCTGGGCCCCACAAGTCCATGTGGAGAGTCTGCAGGGGAGCGGTCGTCAGGGGAAACGAGGAGGAGTGAGGAGCGGCGCGTTGCCGCCCCTCAACACAGGGAAGGCAGGGAGGGACAGGGGAGGCAGAGACCTGGGAAGACCAAAGACAAGGAGGCAAGAGTGCATGCCACGGAGGCATGGTAGGGATGGGTGACCAAGGCGGTGGTGCCAAAGGAGAGTCTGGTGCGACAGGAGGCGATACAAACAGGGGGCTGCTAGCTGACCTGACGCGGACGCAGACGCAGCTACCTGAGGAGGCTTAGTAGTTAGTGTGCATAGACTCGACCCAGGCCGACGGGTGAACGTGGTCAGGTTACGGCCCGTCCGTGTACACGTGCAGATCAATACGCGCTGACCCCCAAGAGTAATAAAGTGATCATCGCATCCTGGAGGGCAGCGGTACTCACCAAGTTCGTAGAGGACAAGGGGAGGTGAAGACCTGAGAGTGGGCCAGACGGAACCGTCGGACACGGGAGAAGGGTGGAGGAACGTGGAAGAGCTGGGCCCCCTAAGGGGTCAGCCAGTCTTACTGCAACAGGTGCAGGGAGCGGTGTGACTGTGGTACTGTCGCGAAAGAAACAGCGGGAAGCACCTGAGTCAAGCGTGAAGGTGTGCAAGGCCTTAGTAGGCGCAGTACTAGAAAGAACAGTGTCACTCGCACCTAAAGCACCAGCCTCTATACTTGGGTCAGGCGGCACACACATGTAACAGTCACGCTTAGGACTAACAATCAAAGCATGCATGGCATCAAGGATAGCACCATAGTCAAGAACAAAGATATCCACACCCTGTCTAAGGAGCTCTAGCCAGCGGGGGAGCTCGGTCTCGTCGGGAAACTCTGCGTGCTAGGCGTCGTCCAGACGGGAGAAGCAGCGGGACTGTGTGTGACCACCCTTGCCGCATGTCTGACCAGTGCGGTCACCTGTGCGAATGACGTACTGGCAGCGAACACTACCCCCAGACGCCCCACGCTGAGCAAACCACTCACGAAGCTCCTGGGGCGTAGGGGTCTCACACGGACGCTGCTACTGCTGCCTCTGACCACCGCCAGATCCTCCCCTCTGACCGGTTCCACCCCGACCGCCTCCACTGCCGCCGCCACCACTCCCACTGCAGCCACCACTGCCGCCACCATTGCCTCCGTCGCCACTCCCACTGCCGCCACCACCGCCGCCACCAACGCCTCCACTCCCTCCACCACTCCCTCCACCACCACCGACATCTGCACCACCTCCACCGCCTCCAACACAGCCTCCACCGTTGCCACCCCCACCACCCTTGCCTCCCTTGCCCGTGCCGTTGCGGCGCCTCCCACTAGGAGCAGACGCAGCCGCGACCTCCTCAGCACAAATGAAGCCAACAACAGCAGCACAAGCCTAGGAGGGGGCAAGGGGGGAGGGGGAAAACCCCTCAAAGAAGGGAGTGCAAGGAGTGCCACGAGCAGCACCTATAGCAACTATGTTAGCCTCAACTACAAGGAGGTGCTTCTCGAGCAGGTCGACAATGAGGTCCGTGGGGTCCATGGCGAGAAAGAGGTCCTTGACTGCGCTAAGAGAGTCAGGGAGGTGGGTGAATATGAAGTAGAGAGCGATGTACATGGGGGGAGGGTTCTTGTCTAGAAACTTGGTGGGAAGCACGGCGCAGTAGCGAGTGTCACTAGTGCGGAGGTGGGTGACTAGGTCGTCGACTGTGGCAAAGGCGGACAACTCGGGAAAAAGGTAGGCAGTGGCAGGGGAGGAGTAACGAGCGACTACAGCGTCGTACAGGGCTTTAGCCATCTTGTGAACGGCTAGGCGAGTAGCAGTGTCACGGGTAAGCCATTGTGAGCGAGTCGCACTGTCAGCTGTGTCGGGAGGGGCGAGAGAGGCTCCAAACGAGTGGTTAAACAACGAAACGCCGTCTCTAGAATCGCTCAGTAGGAACAACTGTAAGTCATCGAGCCACGTATCGAACAGGATCAGACGGCCCTCAGGATCGAATGTGAGGACGCTAAGAGTAGCCATAGTGGGCAGAGCAGGGTAGCGCACGAGCAGCAGGGCAGCACGCAAGCAAGGACGGCACGACGGGCAGGACGGCGCGCAAAAAAATGGTCCTGGGACAGGACCTGCTCTGAAACCATGTCAGAATACTGAATGGGAATGAATGCATTGAGATCTAACTGAGTACAAGTACTAACCCTAATTGGGTTGTACCCCTTATGGGCTATCCCACTACAGCCTACACAACTTAAACATTATACAGAATCATGCTGCGCGTCGCGGGTGTGGTAGATAAAGAGTAAGACGGGCGCTACGGTGTAATATATGTGCTGCTCTAAACAAGGTGCTCCATTATTCAAGGCTTGAGCGGAAAATCAGATAGAAGATCGGCATCGCAAGGAGCTGAGTTAATTAGGGAAATAATGTGAGGACTACTTAAACACAATAGCAATTGTTAGAAGAGTATGAAGGTATGATGATGATTGGGGCAAGGAGGGGGATACAAAGAAGTGTCAAGCAAAATTCTGTACCCCCTAAGGCTAAACCCACTACAGCCTAGATAACATTAAACATATAACTTGACACACCCCCACGGGCGAAGTGGGGGATAGCCAACACAAGAAACAATCACAAGACCAGTCAAGGGAAGAAACAAAGCAAAGCAAGCTCAGGGTGGATCACAACGTCACCACGCATTCTGAGCACAAGGCCACAAGGCCAGTTCACAAGCAGAGTTATATATCAAGGTGAATAAGCAAGGCAGTGATCTCAACCTAGCACGGGTAAACATGCAGGTGCAGGTATATATAGATCACAGTACAAGCAAAGTCAGGAAGTGAGCAAGTGAGGCCAAGTAGGCACAAGACCTAGCATAGTACAAAGCGCTGATGATCACAAGGCTGAAGTGCCTTGGTGAAGATATCAGCGGTGTTGGCCAGAGAGGCCACGTAAGCAAGACGCAGCTGACCACGCTGCTGCAGCTCACGAGCAAGTAGCGAAGAGCAATGTGCTTCGTTTTGTGCTCCAGTCTGTGCTCCCGACACAAGGTCAGCATGGCCTTGTTGTCTACGTACACAACTGGAGGAGAACGAGGCGGCTCTCCCAGGTCAGTCAGCAGGTAGGTGAGCCAGCGTAGCTCTTGTGCAGCCATGGCCCCTGCGTAGATCTCAGCCTCACAGCTGGAGCTGAGAACAGAAGACAAGCGGGTAGACCGCCACGAAACAGAGTCGGAACCAAGGCTGAAGGTGTAACCCTGTGACGACCGCTGCGTAGCCAAGTCGTCAACCCAAGACGCGTCTACGTGACCAGTGAGGACCACTGAACTCCGCCCTCCAAGCACTAGCCCCATGCCCGACGTACTGCACAAGTAGCGCAACACCCTCTTCGCTGCAGCCATGTGCTTTGGTCAGTGTCTCCCAGGAGCAACATAGCATGCCAAGATGCTAAGAGGGTATGCCAGGTCAGGTCGAGTGCAGGTCATCAGGTACATGAGGCAGCCAACAAGCTCTGGGTACGGGCCACTCGGCTCTACGGACTCATCCGAAGGCAGAGCTGAGAGCGAGTGGCGAGTAGACAGAGGAGTGGCCTGAGGCAAGGAGTACGTGAAGTCGAAGCGCTGAAGGACCTGCTGCACCATGTGTGACTGAGTCAGGGTAATGGTGCGGCGTGCTCTGTCCCGGGTGATTTGCAAGCCAAGATAGCTGCGCAGTTCACCCAAGTCTGTGCACATGTGTCTCTTCTGCAGCTCGGACTTCACGTGGGCGAGTCCAGCAGTGTCAGCTGTGGCAAAGACCAAGTCGTCGACGTACACGAGGATGTAGAACGGCGGCAAAGAGGTGTCGGTGCGTAGAAACAGCGACGGGTCGGCAGTAGAAGGAGCAAAGCCAAGAGCCGCAAGTATAGTCCTCAGTGTGTCGTGCCACTCACGGGGCGCCTGGCGGAGACTGTAGAGTGGCCGCCGGAGGCTCCACTGGGTACAAGGAGGAAACGACCCAGTGAAGCCAGGTGGGCAGCGCAGCCAGCTCTCCTCGTGCAGGCTGCCCTGTAGTAAAGCAGTGCTGAAGTCAAGAGATTGAAGCTCGTAGACGCCCTGAGCGGCTATGTGCAGCAGCACCCGAAGAGTGGTCATCTTCAGGCTGGGAGAGAAGGTCTGAAAGTAGTCAACTCCCTGCCGCTGACTGAAGCCTCGAGCCACGTAGCGCACCTTGAAGACAGGCGGAGAACTCGGCGGCCGCTTCACCCTGAAAATCCACATGCCACTGACGATGTTCGCCCCAGGTGGGGGAACCTCGTCAACGTAGGTGCCTGTGGACTTCCAGAAAGCCATCTCTGCGTCCATGGCTGACTGCCACTGAGAGGAGTAGGGACCCTCTATCGCCTCTGCGTAAGAGCGCGTAGTAGGGATGTCTGGTGCATCTGGGTCTCCCTCAGGTGCAATCAGCATGGACACGAGATGAGGTAAAGCAGCAGCAAAACAATGGAACTCCTCCTGCCTGTCCTCAAGGACGTCCATGCTAAGAGCACACTCACCCCCGACGGACGGAGGACAGACATACTCAGACTCAGCAACAAGACTAGCGGCGTAGTCTAAACGACAGTGGGCAGCGAAGTCAACAAGCTCAGCAACTAAGGCAGACGCAGTAGTGGACTCAAAGGAAGGGTCAGTGACAACAGTAGCGAGGAGACGCGTGACAGAAGGGCTTGTAGCTCGAAGGGAGTCCGACTCCGGGTAAGCAAGAGCAGGAACAGAGGACTCTAGAGGAGACGACAAAGGGACACGCAGTGGAGCAGTGGAAGGACGCAGTGCCATCTGGTGCGTTCCTGGGACCGCAGGAGGACGCTCACACGGAACACGATGACCAGTGCGAGCAGCACGAACAGGCGACGCAGGAGGAGACGCAGGCTCACGACGCTAAGCAAGACCTCCAGTAGGACTAGTGTAGGGAGAAGGAGCAGGCAGTGGGGAGGCGGGCTGTAACTGTGACTCGGACAGGACAGGCGGTGGACACTCCCTTGGAGGAGCAGGACCAGCAGAGGGCGAAAGACCAAGAACTTGCTCAAGGAGCAGAACGAAGTACGGCCGTGGCCGCGCAGCACCTCCAGAACCAGCAGGGACAGCACCAGCACCCCCAGCGTCAGTTCCAACAGCTCCAGCAGCTCCACCAGCTGCTCCAGTAGCGCCAAATCCAGCACCCACAAGAGCACCGGCTCCAGCCGCACCTCCAGCTCCAGCACCTCTAGCAGCACCTCCAGCAGCACCCCCAGCTCCAGCACCGCCAGCAGCTCCAGCTCCAGTAGGACCACTGGAAGACGAAGCAGCTCCAGCTCTAGTACCTCCAGCAGCACCGCCAGCTCCACCACCGCTAGCAGCTTCAGCTCCAGTAGCACCACCAGGCCCGGCAGCTCCAGTACCTCCAGTACGAGCACCTCCAGGACCCGTGGCTTCAGAACCCCCAGCAGCCCCAGCAGCAGAAGGAACTCCAGCCGCAGCAGAACCTCCAGCGCTGGAAGCACCACTAGCTCCAGCAGCACGGCGCCACCGCCTAGCAAACCACTCGCGCAGCTCCTGCGGAGAGAGTGGCTCCCGTCGAGACGTAGCACCGGAAGGACCTCCAGGCCCAGCACCACCAGACTCCACACGAGTAGGCCCAGCACCCTCAGGCTCCGCACCCCCAGACTCAGCAACCCCAGGCTCAGCACCCCCATACTCAGCACCCCCAGACTCAGCACCCCCAGACTCAGCACCCCCAGGCTCCGCACGCTCAGGCTCAGCACCCCCAGACCCAGCACCCGCAGGCTCAACACCCCTAGCAGCACCAGAGTCAACAGCTACCTCGACAGGCTCGACCGCGTCTACCTGGGACACACCTGAGGGAGCAGGACCCTGGGGGGGGGAGGGGGTCTACCGGGGGGGGACCTGGCGCGAGGAAGAGCGGCGAGGGGGGAAGGGGAGCAGTGCGGTAGGGGAAGAGACGGTAGTAGGGAACCGACTCGTCAAACGTGACGTCCTGAGAGGACAGAACACGGCGCGAGGTGGGGTGGTATAACTGCCAACCAGGTGTGTCAGGGGGGAAGCCAAGGAAGACCCAGGGAACAGCACGAGAGGACAGCTTGTCCGCAGACAAGTCGCGGACGAAAGCTCGAGATCCCCAGACATGGAACGCAGATGCATCGCTAAACTTCCCCGTCCACCGCAGAGCAGGGGAGGTCTCCGGCATGGAGACCCGGGGCTGAAGGTTGATCTGATGCGCCGCGTACTGAACCGCGAACGGCCACAGAAAATGGGGAGCAGCCGCATGGATCATGGACGTACGAGCGACGTCCGCGACCATGCCAATGCGGCGCTCAGCAATCCCATTTTGCTATGGAGAGGCCGGAAGCGTGAACGTCTAGCAAATGCCCTCCGCACGACAGAAGGCTCGTAGAAGGTCAGAGGAAAACTCTCCACCTCTGTCAGAGTGCAGACGCAGAACAGGAAAGTCCTAGCCGAAACTCTCTCTGAGCTGGAGACGAGCCGCGCGGATCCAATTGATCAACACCTCAGTGACCTCACCCTTGCGGTGCAAGGGGAAGAGTGTGGTATAACGTTAGTAGTCGTCAACCACCAGCAGGAAGTAACGCTCATGACCCTGTCCACGGACGTGGGCGGGGCCCCACATGTCCATGTGGAGAGTCTGCAGCGGAGCCTGTGTCGAAGGAAACTCGGAGGAGTGAGGAGCGGCGCGATGCCGTCCCTCGACGCAGGGAACGCAGGTAGGGGCAGGCCCCGGAGGAAGGGGAGGGAGGGACCTGGGGAGACC